AAGCAAGCCCATTTCTGTAGAACACAGCAACATACAACAGACAGGCCTGAGTGAGGACTGAAGAAAGATAAAGGGAGGATTGCAACTTCAGGGAAACTGCCACTGCAGCTAGAGAGCAGCCCGGTACTTCCCACAGAACACAATATATTTGCATGGATGATCTTATCTCTTCTTTGGAAACGTGAGAAGTCAAGACCTCCTGTTTTAACATATTTCAAAAGTAAATGCAGTTTGTGGAAAATACATATTTAAGCCCAGTGCCAGGTGCATGTTCATGGAGATTGAAATTTTATCCGTAGCATTCTGTTATTCTTCCAGAGAGCATCCTCTACAGGGCAAAGCACATCACAAGGCAGTGGCCCCTCAGAAGCCCAGACCCCTCCAGGTGTATCTGCCCTTTGAGTCATATCCTCATTTCTAATTCATATCCTCATTTGCTACCTGGAACGTCATTGGCATCCTCCTACTAATGGGCTCGGTAGCTTAGACCCGATTTAAAAGAGCCTACATCTACAGAGCATTTGCACTTTCCTGGCATCACAAGGCTTCCTATGCCACTTACCTCACCGAGCTGGGCGTAGGATGATAATTGCAGAGGATGTTACTGGCAGAGAATGGTCTTTCAGTCCAATAAGGAGAAGTCTTAGGCTCTGAGCTATTCAACACTGCGTGAGTGGATCACAACTTCAGAGCCTGCTCTGAGGCAGCAAGTGAGCCCAGAATATTCTGGATTGATATCTGCTCACATACCATCACACTGTAATGACAGGCAGCCATTAGGAAAGCCTAAATTCTCTTTCACACGGTTGCCATTCTTTGCTTTCCTTCACTGAGTTGCTGATATTTTAGCCAGTCAACATTTTGGACGAAGCATATGCCACACATCTGCCTTAAGGAGTGAGTAGCTGCCACCTATATCAATGTGCTTACAGCTTGAATTGAGAACCTGCTTAAGAAGCATTGCCAGAGGCAACTTCTGAACATTCTTAAGATATTTTCTTCTCCACTGTGAGCCTTTAGGTCCAGAGTATTTGCCAACAGGAAAGATGCTTACTTCGTAAATGTCAAATCCTGAATTGAGGTCTTAGAAGAGAACTTACCCCCTTGTGCCTTCACCCAGACTGCCTCCAGTTCCCCTAGCAATATAACACTCCCATACAGGCTTTTCCTGCTTGCCTTATCCTCTGCCTTCTTTGGAAATCCAATTACATTTTTCCTCTATAAATCTTGCCAGGAACACCACACAAGAAAGCCACAATAAATCGGGATGAAAGTCCACTTGCATTTCTTTCTAATCCTCCATCTTACCCTTAGCCTTTTGGAGGACCCACTCAGCAGATGGGCAGACGTTTCATCAGATGCACACCAAACAGCACAGATTACCTAGTTGGCAGCAAGCTTGCAGTTCACCAAGACTGAACCATGATTTATTGATGGTGTAGCCTTCCAGCTGCTTAGGATTCACACTCCGAGGATGGCATTCGTGGAAGCATTTGCCCATGAGGCATCAAACCTATCGACTCTGAGTCCAGCTCACACAGCAATTACTCAGCAAAGTTGCTACATTAAAAGCAGTAAATCGCGCTTAGTCGTGCCACTAGAGAGTGTGCCAAAGCTGATTAAAAACCTTAATACAAACATCCTATTCAATGCGCCCTGGTTGAAACGAGGAATTGAACTCTGCTTCTCCTACTGTAGAGACGTACACAAGGCCAGATGGTTCATTCACATTTGAAGGAAAAGAAAACTCACAAACACCCACCTTAAATCGCATGTAATTAAGTCATAGAGGACACAGTAGTCCCCATTAACCTAGCACCTATTTTATTTTAAAGCCCCCAACCCTGGAGGCATTCAAGGCCAGGCTGGATGTGGCTCTGGGCAGCCTGGTCTGCTGGTTGGTGACCTGCACACAGCAGGGGTTGGAACTGGATGAGCACTGTGCTCCTTTTCAACCCAGGCCGTTCTAAGATTCTATGATCAGTCATACTGAACACTCCAGAGCTGCAGGCTGAAGGATCAAGCATCCAATGCATACCAGGGAAAGAAGGTTAGCAACTGGTTCTTTGTTGTTTTGTTGTTTTCTTTTTATCTCTGGAACTGAACAGCCAAAAAGCAGGTTAAACGTTTTAGTTTCTCCCTGGTTTGTGCATAGCAATATTGAGTATTGCTCACTTCCCCCAGTCTGCTTTATATTACCTATTAGTGAAAGTACAAACTGCTCAGCTTGGTCACCATTATTTATAACTACTGAAGCCCATAAAAGTGGATTTATGCTCGCCTGGGTCCAGAAGTCATACAGTATGGAGCCCCACTCGAAGCATGCCTGACACAGCACTTAGAATCTGATTTCGTACTGCTGCACTCCAAACAAGAGCTGAGCAGTGCTGTCACAATCCTTCTGAGCCAGCTGACCCTTAAGGGAAGTCAGTCTCCAGGTTCAGCACAGGGGAGGAAGACCCAGTGAGGAATTTCAGACCCACTGAGCCACAGAAGTACCTTTGTCTGACCTAGCCCAGACATCATTAAATACAAAAGCTGATCAAATAGCAGATGTAATATAAATCTCCAAGCAATTTTGCACAGAAAGACATGAGCTAAGGTTAGTCAGTGCCATTACCTCTGCGATCCCAGGCACAGTCTGCCTTGTTTGGCATTATAATAAGCATCCTAACCTCAAACTCCAAATATTCTCATCTCAACATTCATATGCTGATCTCATCGCAGCTCCTTCTTCAAAGCATGGCTCTCCCTCTAGGTTCTCATCTTAGCTATCCAACAAGCTATGTCTTTCCTCATGAGAAAACATAAACAAAATCCCCAAAGAACATTCAGACCATAAAAGTGAACTCACGACCACAAGTTTAAATGAAACAGCCATGTGGATTTAAAAAACAGAAGTACATCCCAACAGGGAAAGGTGACAGAGGTTAGAGCTATTTGCGTTGCCAAACGATGGGGACTCAGCTCTTCCTACTGAACTGATGATGCTCATTTAAAATGCACTGAAACCGAGGTGATTTGGAGACCACTCGGAAGGTCTGAGTGGCTTAATCCTTATTTGCAGCCTGCATTTAAATCAAATTCTCACATCCATTTGCCCAAATAACCTGTTTGAGCCAACCACACTAACTACATCGCGATGGCTGCTTTATAAAGCCACCAGTTGGCAGCCATTTGGGGTGCAGTACAGTGGAACAGCTTCTCCTGTTGGGTTTATATGGCTCATTGTAGAGTTCTGGCATCTAGCCCTAATGGCATAAAGGCCTGTTCAGAGCACACTGATGGTTATGCATCAACCCCTGGTCCAGCATCAGGAAGAGAGTGCTGTACAATCTGATTAAAGCACAGCTACTTCTATTTACAAACACTATACATAAGAACACAAGTACAGTAGATTTGTTTTCATTTTTTATACCACTCTTCTAGATAGACAACTCAAGGATAATGCTTTTCGTTAAAGGATCTGTTTTGAACTCATCTTTCCTATTCTCAGGTAAAGAAAAAAAATATTTCCAGAAGTCTAACTGAGCTGCATTAACCTCAGATTTCAGACTGGTCCAGGACACTTGAGAGAACCAGGCCTCCCATGTTCTTTCTTTGCTGCCAGATTCTACATGGAGTCTTACTCTCCCCAGTTATTTCACTGCAAGGCAACTACCCTCACGGTTTCCAAAAGTTAAGTATTTAAGTTATGCCAACACAGATCATATGAAATCACTAGCAACATTCTAGAAGCCTATTACAGGAACTTTTGGATACTGAGAAAGCAACCTCAGCCAGGTAAGGTACCTTGCCACTGTGGAGATAAAACTGCCTATCACCTATCATACAGAAGACAGCACCTAAGGGTAATTTCACAAGTCAAGAACGTGCTTTGAGATCCTAAATTCTACAGTAAATTCTATACTTCATAGTATAAACTACAAGAGTCAGAAACTGCAACTTGCAATTCTGCAAGAGGAGTAAAAGACTTCAGTATTATAGGCTCATTCCAACATCCACAAATATTTGCAAACTACATGGGGAATCTATTGAAATAATCTGCATGTGTGAGTCTGAGAAAGCCTGATACTTGTTTGGGAGGGGTGGGATCATGAAGAACAGCAGGATACAAGGATCAAAACAAGCACGAAAGGGCAAGTGCAAAGCCAACAGCTGTTTCTTTCCTGCTCCTCTCAACTCTATTTTTATTTCTGTGACAGATGATTGAGCTCATACTGTAAACAGAAGATTAAGACTGTTAGCAAGGAGCAGCATAGACTGCAGCCTCACTTCAAGACAGCTGACCAGAACAGTCAAGTTCCTGCAATCACAATAGCATTAGCGACCATCTCTGAAGGCATAAGATTTCATGGCATAGTATTTACTACTGCAAATATGTTGTGGGAGGGATGCTATTTAAGCCAAGTGTTCAGTTTCTAAAAGGGAACAGACAAATGATTATTTGGAAAATGCTATTTACCCCCCACCTTCCTACCCATTTCATCTCTCTGTGAAAACCTCCTTTTTCATCAACTTGAGCCCACCACTAAGACTTCTTGACACTGCAGCTGAATGGATCATCTCATGTTAAATAGCTGTTATTTTCTGCTACTCCTACACAAGCTGACATAATTGCAGCACAGAAAACAGTCATTAGGGAAGCCATGACTGTCCCAGCATTGGCAAAACATCCGCTCTACAGAAATAGAGATGACTGTAGAAGAGACAATCATTTCTCAGATAGAAGTACATAGAGGCATAGCATGAGGTGTTTGTGCCTGGGGGGGCTCAAAGTGGTCCTTCCTAGCAGGAAAGAATTTAAGAAACTGTTTCCATACCTTCTGACCAAGGACACGAAAAACATCCCTACCAGGATGCTACATTAATACTAAGATCAGATAGGTTGACATGGCAAGATTTTGGTGGCAAGGGAGATGCGGGGGAGATATCAGGATCAGAGGAGACATGCAGACCAAAGCATGATGGTAAGTGGTGAGGGATCTCCCTGTTTTTACCTTGACCACCAAGCTTTTCCATCTTGTTTCCTCCACATGTCCTGCTGGGGGGGAGTGAGACAGCAGGTTGGTGGCTCCTGGCAGCCAGCAGTGGTTAATGCTCCCCAAGGGAAAACAACACTCTAGTCAGAAACAGAGAAGGCAAACATTTTAGAAGATGAATGGCTTGAAAGAAAGCAGTTTTCCCCAGGGAAGAAGGATCGCTAAAGGATTTTAAGGTTTGCTCTATTTTTAAGGATTGCCTTAATAATAAGGCACCAAATAAACAGAAGCTCAGATGGTTTTATTCTGTACTCTGCCCAGGAGGAAAGTCATGATATTGTGTACATGTAATCATAGAATGGCTTAGGTTAGAAAATACCTTAAACATCATCTAGGTGCAACTCGTTGCCATGGGCAGGGTTGCCACGCACCAGATTAAGCTGCTCAGGGCCCAATCCTGGATGTAGTACTGCAGATGGGACCTCACAAGAGCAGAGTAGAGGACAATCTTCTCCCACTCTCTGCTGTCACCCCCTCTGTAGATGCTGTTGGCCTTCTGGGCTGCAAGAGCACACACTGCTGGCTATGTCCAGCTTACTGTCCACCAGAACCCCTAAATCCTTGTCTGCAGGGCTCTCAAGGAGTTCTCCCACTCAGTGCATATATCTGGGATTGCCCCGAATCAAGTGCAATAACTTGCTCATCCAGACCCTGAATGATGTCCTTCCTTTAGTTGTACCAGCTGCACCACTCAGCTAGATGTCATCTAACAAACTTGCTGAAGGTGCACTCAATCCCACTGCTTAGGTCATTGCTAAGATATTGAAATGCATCAATCCTAAGATGGAGCCCCAAGGGACACCATTCGTAACCTGCCTCCACCTGGACATAGAGCCATTGACAACAACCCTTTGGCTGCGACCATCCAACCAACTCTTTATTCACCTAACAGTCCAGCCTTCAAACCCATCTTTTTCCCATTAATAGAAGTCAAAAGCCTTGCACAAATCCAGGCAGAGAACATCTCCCCTGCCCAGCCTATGTAGGCTGATGCTGTTACAGCATCGTAGAAGGCACCAGATTGGCCAGGCACAATCTGCTCTCTGTGAAGCTGTGCAGACTGTCTCACCTCCTCATCTCACATGTGCACTGACATCTCTTCCAGGAGGATCTGCGCCATGATCTTCCCAAGCAAAGAATTCATTGAGTATCTCAGTCTTCTCCATGTCTGTAGAAGCGTTTTCTCCCTTCTCATCAGAGGGAATACATTTCCCTGTCTCTTCTCAACATACCCATAGAATATTTTCTTGTTATTTTCCACATAACTCACCAAGTTCAGTTCCATTTGCACTCTGGCTTTCCTGCATCCATCTCTGTACATACAGACAGCATCCCTGTATTCTTACCAGGCACCACATCCCTGCATCCACTGCCTCTACATTTTCTTCTTATCCCCCAGTTTGACCAGCAGGTCTTTGTTCAGCCTTGCTGGTTTCCCAGCAAGGGAAGCCTCTTCTATGTGATTTCTTTGGTGGAAGATGGAGAGTTGCTGTGCTCTCAGAAGCATGTCCTTTAAAGAACTGCCAGCTCAATTCTGTTCCTGTGTCCCTAAGGACAGTTTCCCAAGAGATCTAAGACTAAAAGATATTAATTAACCAATCTTTGCAGTCTTATGAGAGATGAAATTGGTACAGAGAAGATGCAAGACAGACAGTAGCTGGCCTTACAGGAGTAAGAGGCAGGAAAATAGTGACTGCTGCCAAGGATCCCTTGCTATATTCTGCCCAGCTCCAAACAGGCACACAGCTGTGTGCAGCCAGCAAGACAATGAACGTCTGACTTGCATCTGCCTGGTGCCTGAACTGTGACTAGAACAGTATAAAAACAGCAGTGCAACCACACAGAAGCTTGTAATGATATTATGACATTAATGATATTAGCTGCATGTTTGCAGAAAAGCAACTGACGCAGCTGTCTGGCCCAGTGTCAGCAAAGCCATTGCCCTTGCTGTGCAGCATCACAAAACAATCACACGTGTTTGTGACAAGCTCTTTGTCCTCTTCACAGCCAGTTTCATTCCGTCTGCATAGCACTGAGCCAAAGCCACATACAGATGTTTAAATTCATGATAAAAATGCACTTTCTGCATGGCTCAGTCCTACTCAGTTTCATCATCTTTGGCTCTGCACAGCTCAGAAGCAGATGAGGTTGTTGTGTCCAGACACTTCAGTTTGGCTAAATTCAGGAATATATGGCAAGAGTAGCATTTTTTCATTAGCACAAAGACATAACTAGAGATTTATTTTTCCTAGAACATCTTCATTTACACAAGATGTGCCAACAGAAATCTGGAAGGATGAAAATAAGACAGTACAGTTCTAAATTCCAGGAACTGTGCCTCCCAGAAAGCCCTTCCAAGGTAATTCACTATCAGTCATCACATAGTAGTTGCTGCAAAAGGTCTTGGCAAATCCCCATCTCTCTCTTTGCAACTTATTTCTTCAGCCATGGATCTCTGGGACTCAGAGAGGACAGGACAGCAAGAGCTAGCACTGTTATTTCAATGAGCAGCACTTAGACACACTACAGTACAGTTTTTAGTTATCTCTACAGTGCAGTGGTCCAGCAAGTCAAAAAGCACATTAAAAAGAAATGCAAATCCTCTAATGAATTAGAGGTTCTGTTTTCTGTAATGCTTTTCTTTCTGTGTTACATTAAAATTCATCGCCTTCTTCACTGTAGAATCTTGCTGGTACTGCATTGCCACTATGTTCTTCTCCCAGACGCAGAGAGGCAAAGGAATTCAGCACAGAACTGTACTGAAATATGAGCATACAGAAGATGACAGTACATAAGCACCTAAGCTGAATCAAGTAAGGATCACACCTGGCTCCACACCTGCACCAAAGCAGGCAGTGACACACTGCTAAGAAATAAAGCACAGAGGAGAAAAGTGATCTGCTCACCAGGAAGAGTGAAAAGGGGCTGATATGCAACATGTTAAGAGCAGGGAAATCACATAGCAGGTTAAGCATCATGGAGGAGGGAAAAAAAAAAAAGACAAAACTCTCCTTTAAGTCTGGCACCAAGATTAGCAATGCAAAAATTACTTGTAAGGTTTTTAGTGCCACACATTTTCATCACAGCAGAGGACTGAAGAGCTCCTCCCATTGCCCCTCTGGGGTCACTGCCTATTTAGAAAAGTAATGCACACAAAGGTAATCTCCAGAGGTGCTTCATCCTTTTAGGCTAGATTTAATTTTGAGAAGTGCCCTGGCAAACCTCTCATGTAAGCCTAACAGAAGAAGCAGATTACATAAAGAGCTGCTGCTCCTGCGTGCACCGGTGGAGCTCTAAGATATTTAATTGAACCTGTATCAACTCAGTAATGGGATTACTGACAATTTCTTCTTTTAACCAACATATAGCAAACACCTTGAAGCACATTTAAGTACCAGAATGCCACTACTTGAAGTTTTTCAGCTGGTTATTAGCGTGCTTGCCTTGTTTCTGCACCAGCACAGTTTTATTTTGTGATGACAATCATTGGACACCTCACCTCAACCAGCAGAGCAATTTCCAGAAAATTAACAAGATGATTGAAGGAGTATTATGGACCTTAAGCGTGTGAGAATCAAAGTAATGAATAGCTGTAAAAGACTGCTGTCATTAAAGGGATTGCTGATTCTCTGTGGAGAACATACATAACACTTATAAAATATACTGACATTACCCAAATCACAGCCCCATAATGATACACGCACGTTATATTAGAGTGTAATTACATGGCAATTTTCATACAACAGTGAAGAGGAAACCCAGTATGTCAACCAACACAGTTCCTTTGAAATCGACTTAAGTATACTTGGAAAACATAATTAAGCAACAGAAGGTGAGCTGTTTCCAGATGGTAATTACATTACTCAGTGTATATTCAAGTAGGTCACTTCTACAACAAGGAAACTGAACTCAGCCAGAATTGGGATGCCTGTGTAAATCCTATTGCACGGTGTTTGCAGCAGTGGAAACCCAATCTTTAAGGGTGTACCTCCCAGGGTCATTTGTTAAAAAGCTGTAATGGCAAGAAGGAGGCTTCGCCCCTCAGCAAACCTTTGGACAGCCTAAGTTTTATATTAGACTAATACACATCAGAGTTACTACTGTAAGTAGGACTCACTCCACATTTCTCAATACGTGGCTCCAGAGAGCTAAAGAGTAAATGCTGCTTTTGCAACTGAAGCAGAGCTGAACCTGCAGCAGAGGGTGAGTTTCAAAGCTGAGCTGTGTTCAGGGCCAGGCTTCCAAAAAGCCATACTTTCACAAACACGCTCAACTACAGAAAGCACTGTATACTCTTTTGCTACTCCCTCTGAAGACATACACCTTCCACGATGCTCCCAATGAAAAGCTACAGCAAAGCACAGAAGCATGAACTCGGGTTTACCATTTCCCAGGCTCTCTGAGACAATAAGCTGTCAAACACTGGTTGCCCTTTTCAGTATATTACCTAACACGCCACAGATGGCACAAAACGTTGTTACTGCTTCTTAAATTTTGTGTCCAATCGCACTGCAGTTTTATTTCCAAACTGCTTTTGTGGGGAACCAAGATCACCTTGTCACCACCTGCTTTTTGAGATCTCAGCAAAGAACTGCAAGGCTCAGTCTCAGCTGCACGCTGTATGTACCCATATTTCACAGGTCTGTACCCTCTGCCCCCTCCCATGAAGCCTCTAGTGGAATCTACCACAATCTGCCATCAACCAAGCCTGATGACATCCGTTATCACCCACTTTCTCCATCCCAGTGCTCTATTTTGGTTGGGATTGAGCTCGTTTTCTCTGCAGTAGCTCATACAGCACCATGATTTTGATTTGTAGCGAGAACAGCGCTGCTAACACAGAAATGGTTCGGCTTTGCTGAGCAGTGCTTACACCATGCCGGTGACTTTGCTGCTTCTCATGCTGCTTTGCTAGCAAGGGGCTGGGGGTGTAAAATGGGCTGGGAAGGGACATGGCCGTGACATGGCATCGTACTGAGCAATAAAACCGAGGGAAAGGAGGGAGCTGTGAGCTGCCAAAGCAAACCAAGAGATGACGCAAACCCACCTATGGCACATATTGGCAGAAACAAGAAGTCAC